CTTCAAATCCTCGATCCTTTGAGTGTATGGCTTAACATAGGAGTAAGTAGATTGTTTTCCTTCTATCTTCCCCTTTATGGTTCCCATGATGAAGTCTTTAAGTTGATCAATCGGGATCATGCCCCCAGAGGTTGAAATGTTCTTTCCCGAATCCTCTTGGTGAGAATCATTATCTTCATGCACTTCAGGATCCTTCTCATGGGTATGACTTGACTCGCCTTCCAAGCTTTCCACTTTGTTGTTTAGATCGTTCAACTTCTGATCTTGAGCTTGCATGAACATGCTCATCCCCTCGATGAACTTAGTTAGATGGGCGATTTGTTCTTCCATAGACGTTGTACTCGTCGTCATAGTGGGCATCACAGTGTAGACATTTGACCACTGTGGGGTAGTTCTTCGTGGAGAAGTTGATGGAGAAGTAGAGTCTGAACCAGATGATGAGCTTTCACCACCGTTTGTCCACTTTGGGGAAGTAACTTCATGTATGGATGAAGAAAGTTTCCGGGCCATCTCTTGCGCAGTTTGAAATCCCTCGATCGCACCGGGAGTAGTTCCCGAAAATGACTGTGCAGCTAGGATTCTTGATCGGCTCCTAGTGATGGGGCCTTGCATGTTTTGATTCGAGCCTGATGATGCTTGAGAATTCAAAGTGAACACGGGCTTGCTTGATTCCATTGGTTCGCTTTCCTTGATCAAAACTGAAGAGATGAGAGGTAGAGATGTCCCATCGGGCGTGCCAAAAATTTGTGAAACAAATTTTAAGTATTTACTTAAAATTGATCGTAAATAATAATATGTGAGAATATTGGGTACAATCTCTAAATATGAATCCTCTGATTCTTCACTTGCAATTTGAAATAAATATAATTAAAGAAATTAATTCAAAATTAAATCTTTAATCCTTCAAACGTTCGAACGTTCTTCAGATCTTCAAATCTTTGTTCTTGAGATCTTCGAATCTTCGTTCGTCAGATCTTCAAATCATCTTGAATTAAGAATTCAACTTGAAGGGCCTCCGGTTTTCAAGTGGCTTGATCTTCAACAAAATGGTCGTTTTATGGCTTGATCTTCTGTTTAAGGGCCTTCCGGGATATATGGCTTGATCTTCAATTGAATCTTGATTCAATCTTCATATGAATATCTTCAAATCTTCGAAGATTAGTTCTTCATATCTTCGAATCTTCAAAGTCTTGTTCTTCAGATCTTCGAATCTTCAAGCTTCGTTCTTCAGATCTTCGAACGTTCTTCAACTTTTCGTATAATCTTGAGAAAATTCGTGGCTTGATATCTTCCTCTTCTTTGGAATCGTTCAGAGCCTCTCGGGAGTTCTTCAGAGCTTTTCTGCAGCATTTCTTCGACTGGATTTTTTTTCTTTTTTTTCTCAACTGGGACCCTATTTATAGGTGTGGAGGGGATGAAATATGCTTTAGGGTTCCTGATATGCACTAGTTTATAGTGCATAAATGTATGTTTTTGTATTAACTTTGTGTGGATTTTCTTTCCTCTTTAGTTAGTTTGTAAACATTTGTTTTATGTTGTTTGTAATTGTTTTTTGCTTTCATTTATAGTTGTAGAATAGTAGTAGTGTTTTTAGCAAGGAAAAGGAGAAAAGCTGAAGATAAAAATGGCCAGGAGCGCAAACCCGGTCGGGTCATGCACTACACCCGGTCGGGTCTGAGTTGAGAACCAGGTCCTTGAGAAAATAGCTAGACCCGGTCGGGTCCCCTACTTGACCTGGTCGGGTTGGATGTGACCCGGAACACCAGAACGTGCCAAGGATCGCCCGAATAAAGAATATTTAATTTTTGAGTCAAACCCGATCGGGTCCCCTACTTGACCCGGTCGGGTCTGACTTGACCCGGAACATTTTAACGTGCTGAAACACAAAAACGTGGGAGATAATCTGATTTTGACCGGTACCTGGTCGGGTAAGCACTAAACCCGGTCGGGTACCCGATGAAAGGTGTTGAAAAACACCTATAAATAGCACACTTTTTCTTCACAAAAAATCGTCCCTTCTTCCATACTCTTTAGCTCAGTTTAGAATAGCATTTCTTTATATTTTCTAGCTATGTTTAGTCTCCAAATGAGGAGCTAAACTTCCATTCTTGGTGTTGCTCTTGAAGCTTGTTAATTATTAAAGTTGTGAGTTATTTTCTTAACTTCTTTCCTTGAATATTAATTAATAGTTCTTTCCTTAATACCATCTCTATATTAATGTTGGACAGTGTTGCTAAGATGAAAATTAGTTAACATCTCGACATTAGTTAGAATGGTATTTTCTTCCTCTATATTAATATTGGGGAGTGTTGCTAAGATGACAATTAGTTAACATCTTGATATTAATTATAGTAGGATTCATCTTCTTTAATAATATTCTTCCTTGAATATTAATTAATCCCTACTCATATTTCATATTAATATTTTGAACATTACTTAAAGGATCAACTAGTTTTGTTTCATATATTAATTATTACTAGAAATGATCAACGAACCGATGGTTAATCCTTGATGGTTTCACAAGTAAGTAACTTCGGTTTATTAATGTACGGTCGTGGTTAATAAACTTAAGAGGGATTAATTTTGTTGGTTAAACCGAAACCGTTGTGTTGAGGTTATCAATCTCAATTGATTTTATCAAGGAGTTAGAAAGATTAAATGCTACTATTAAATCGGTATAAGGCGTTGTTCTATATTTGATTAATAGTAAGGGTTATTAATGAACGGTTGTTGTTAATAACTACCCTCGATGAAGTGGATATACTCCCCGATTGAGTATTCGAGAGGGAATAAGTTATAGATATAACAATGATCGACTAAAATATATCAACAAGTGGAAAGTAGCAATGTCAAGTCCTTTTTATCTTTGAATTAAACACATATAAGTCGTTCATCTTAGTGTTAATTAAATTAAATTAAATCACTCAATCCAAATCCCCCCTTTTTATTTACTAAGTATCATAAAAAGAGAATTATTCCTTTCCCTGTGGATACGAACTCTACTACGCTATACTACGTATAAGTGTTTAGTATTGAAAATTATTTTGAGTGCACCTCACGACAAGTGCACGTCAAATTTGGCGCCATTGCCGGGGAAAGACAATTAATTTTTCTTTTTATTTTATTTCAAGAAAAATAAAAAAAAATTATATATAAAGTTTTCTATTTTGCTGAGCTTTGTTTGAGTATATGGTAAAAACCCGATCCATAAACCAACTCACCTACCAAACAAACCCCGAAATAGAAAAAGCTCTCGAGCGGTTAAAAAGAAAATTCTCAAGTACCGACTCGGTGGAATCCTCAAGTGCTAGTTCTCAATCTAGCGAGTCCGAGGAGCCAATATCAATGGCTCTTGAAACAAGAACGCTGAGGGAGCTCACAACTCCCAATCTAAACCAACAACCCTTATGTATCACCTTCCCAACTCTTGATGCGGGTGCAACATTTGAGTTAAAATCCAGACTCATACATCTACTTCCATCCTTCCACGGGCTAAGAGGAGAGGATCCAAATAAACATCTTTCGGAGTTCCACATCGTTTGCACAAGCATGTGCCCGAACGATGTTACCGAGGAGCAAATTAAGTTGAGGGCTTTCCCATTCTCCCTCAAAGACACCGCCAAAGACTGGCTATTCTATCTTCCCTCGGGAAGCATAGACACTTGGGCGGCCATGAAGAAGAGCTTCCTCGAAAGGTATTATCCCGCCTCAATCTCCTCATCTCTAAAGAAACAAATCAGCAATGTGGAGCAAAAAGATGATGAATCGTTCTACGAATTCTGAGAACGATTCAAGAAACTCTGTGCGAGCTGCCCGTATCACGGCTACTCGGAGCAAGACTTCATCCTTTACTTTTATGATGGTCTTTGCGATGATGATAGACGGATGATCAATGCTGCATGTGGAGGAGGAATAGTCAACAAAACTCCTTCTCAAGCTAGGAATCTTATCTCGGAGTTGGCCGAAAATTGTAGACACTATGATCGGCGGTCAACAAAGAGAGTCATAGCGGCGGAATCCAACAACTCGTTGGAGAGTCAAGTAGCCGGCTTGACTTCTTTGGTTAAAGATTTCCTTTTAAATCCAAAAACCCAAGAAGTCAAGGTCTGCGGCATCTGTTCAACACAAGGGCATCCCATAGATTCTTGCCCAACTTTACAAGAGGAGAACTCCGAGCAAGTCAATGCTTTGGGGTTCCAAGGCCAAAGGAGGTACGATCCTCACGGCAACACCTACAATCCAGGATGGAGGGATCATCCAAATCTAAAGTACGGAAACTCTCAACCCCCTCAACAATCAAACCATCCTCCTCAACAATGTAAACAACAAGCCCAAACATCGAACTCAAACATGTCCACCGAAGACATGATTCGAGCATTAGCCATGAATATGACTACGATGCAACAAAGTGTGGCCCAATTTCAAGAAAAAACAAAGTCTAGCATCCACAACTTGGAAAGCCAAATGAGCCAAATCTCAAATGCCGTGAGTAGGCTAGAAGCTAGGGATTCGGCAAAACTCTCATCTCAAACGGAGCCGAATCCAAGGCAACAAGCTCATGCGGTCACTTTGAGAAGTGGCAAAGAATTGGTTATGGCTAAAGCAAAAGCAAAGAGCCATGTGGGAGAAGAGGAGGAGGAGATCTTGATGCCAAGCACAAACCCTCAAAATGAAGAGGAAAAAGAGGAGAAGATCACACCTCAAAGAAAGTTCCCACCGCTCGACTCATATGAGCCGGTGCCACCTTTTCCGGAGGCTCTCAAGGATAACCGAAAATACAACAATGACAAAGACATCTATGAGACCTTCAGCAAATGTGAGGTAAATATCCCTATTCTCAATTTAATAAAAGGTGTTCCTAGGTTTGCAAAGTTTTTAAAAGAACTTTGCACAATTAAAAGGAAACACAAGTTGAATGGCAAGCATAAAATCCAAGTAAGTGAAAGAGTGTCGGCCGTTTTTCAAAAGAAACTGCCTAAAAAGTATAGTGATCCGGGAATGTTCACTATACCATGTAAACTTGGAAATTCTAGTTCTTCTAGGGCTATGTTAGATTTGGGTGCATCAATCAATGTCATCCCATATTCTCTATATAAGTCCCTAGAACTAGGACCCTTACATGAGACGGGGGTCGTTTTCCAACTTGCCGATAGATCCAATGCCTACCCAAAAGGTGTGGTAGAGGATGTTCTCGTCATGGTAGATGATTTAATCTTTCCCGCTGATTTTTACGTTCTTGAAATGGAGAACGATAAAAATGCAGTCCCAATTTTACTAGGCAAACCTTTTTTGAAAACGGCCAAGGCAAAAATTGACGTTTTTAGTGGAGTGTTAACCATGGAGTTCGATGGCGAAAAAGTCGAATTTAATATCTACGACTCCATGAAATATCCCACTGATAATCACTCTCTATTTGCGATTGACACTTGCGACACTTGGGTCCAAGATGTATTTGAAATTGAGGGAAAGGATGAGGTACTAAGCTCAATTGAAAACGACATAGCGGATTTTACATTGGAATACTCTATGTCGAATAACATGAAGGTTATGGTGGCGGAGTTAAATCAACTCCCACTTTTGCCACCGGGCTCTAAAGCCCTCCCACTAACCATTCCAAGCGAGGAGCCGCTACCATCTGTTTTGCAGGCACCGGAGGTGGAATTAAAACCACTCCCTGAAAATATGAAGCATGTGTTCTTGGGTGAAAATCACACTCTACCGGTGATTATTTCAAATGCCCTGTCCCAAGAACAAGAAGAAAGATTGATCGCGGTCCTCAAGGAATATAAATTGGCCATTGGATGGTCTATTGCCGACATAAAAGGCATTAGTCCATCCACATGCATGCACAGGATCTTGCTCGAAGATGAGGCTAAAGCGGTGAGACAACCGCAACGAAGATTGAACCCACCCATGATGGAGGCGGTGAAAAAGGAGGTGATCAAATTGCTTCAAATGGGAATCATATTTCCCATTTCTGATAGCAAGTGGGTGAGTCCTACTCAAGTGGTGCCAAAGAAGACCGGAGTAACGGTCATTGAAAACAAGGATGGCGAGATGGTGCCCACCCGAGTTCAAAACGGGTGGCGAGTTTGCATTGACTACCGAAGACTCAATTCGGTGACTAGAAAATACTTCTTTCCATTGCCTTTCATTGATTAAATGCCAGAGAGGTTAGCAGGGCACAAGTTCTATTGTTTTCTCGATGGTTACTCCGGGTATTTCCAAATACCAATAGCCCCGGAGGACCAAGAGAAAACAACCTTCACATGTCCATTTGGCACTTTTGCCTACCGACGAATGCCCTTTGGATTATGCAACGCACCGGGCACCTTTCAAAGGTGCATAATGAGCATATTTTCAGAATTTGTGGAGGTATTCATGGAGGTCTTTATGGATGATTTCACAATCCATGGGGACTCTTTTGACTCTTGCCTCTATCACCTCACTCTTGTGCTAAAAAGTTGCATTGAATCCAACCTTATGCTGAACTATGAAAAATGCCACTTCATGGTAGAACAAGGGATTGTTCTTGGGCATGTGATCTCATCAAAGGGGATCGAGGTGGACAAAGCAAAGATTGATGTGATTCAAACACTCCCATACCCCACAAATGTACGAGACATCCGCTCTTTCCTCGGTCACGCCGGTTTCTATAGGAGATTCATCAATGATTTCTCAAAAATCTCATCTCCTCTATGCAAACTTTTACAAAAGGATGTGGAATTTGATCTAAATGATGAATGCAAAGAAGCTTTTGACACTTGCGACGTAAGTGACTATGCGGTGGCGGCAGTTTTAGGCCAAAAAGCCGGAAGAGCCTCTCATGTCATCTACTACGCCTCATCAACCCTCAATGAAGCCCAAAAGAACTATTCCACCACCGAGAAGGAAATGCTAGCGGTAGTCTTTGCTTTGGAAAAGTTTCGTTCCTACCTTCTTGGAACGAAAGTTATTGTCTACACTGACCATGTCGCTCTCCGATTCCTTATGACAAAGAAAGAAGCCAAACCAAGACTCATTCGATGGGTCCTTCTATTGAGTGAGTTTGATGTGGAAATTAAAGACAAGAAAGGAGCGGAGAACTTGGTGACCGATCATTTAAGCTGCCTCATTCCTCACAAAGACATCGAAGACCTCCACACAAATATCATCAAAGGAGAATTCCCGGACGAAACTCTCTTCTCCATCAAAGTCACACAACCATGGTACGCAAATATCGTGAACTTCCTCGTTTCCGGCAAATTTCCTCCACAACTCTCAAAATCTCAAAAAGAAAAATTAAGAATGGATTCAAGACTCTATGTGTGGGATGACCCATATTTGTGGAAGCATTGTAAGGATCAAATAATCCGAAGATGCATCCCTGAATATGAGATAGCCCATATCATAGAGTTTTGTCACTCTTATGCTTGTGGAGGACATTTCGCTCTGAAACGAACGACAATGAAGATACTTGAAAGCGGTTTTTGGTGGCCGAGTCTATTTCGGGATGCACACGGCTTTTGTCAATCTTGTGACAATTGCCAAAGAGCGGGCAACATTTCCAGGAGGAACGAGATGCCACAAAACCCCATGCTTTTCTGTGAGATTTTCGATGCATGGGGTATCGACTTCATGGGACCCTTCCCAAATTCCCAAGGTAACATATACATCCTTCTTGCAGTAGATTACGTCTCCAAATGGGTGGAGGCCAAAGCAACAAAAACTGATGATGTCAAGGTGGTGGCTAGTTTTCTAAAATCACACATATTTTTAAGGTTCGGGGTCCCTCGAATTTTAATAAGCGATCGAGACACACATTTTTGTAATAAAATTGTGGGACCCCTACTGAAAAAATATGGTGTGACTCACAAAATTTCTACAACCTACCACCCTCAAACCAATGGCCAAGCGGAAACCTCAAACAGGGAGTTGAAATCTATACTCCAGAAAACAGTGAACCCGAACCGAAAGGATTGGAGTATACACATTGATGATGCGCTATGGGCATACCGAACTGCCTACAAAACCCCAATCGGTATGTCTCCTTATAGACTTGTGTTTGGGAAAGCATGCCATCTTCCCGTAGAGCTCGAACACAAGTCCTATTGGGCGGTTAAAGAATTCAACCTCAATCTTGACGAGGCCGGTGTACATAGGAAGCTCCAATTACAAGAATTGGAAGAACTTCGCCTGGATTCTTATGACAATGCAGAAATATACAAGAGAAAGACGAAGGAGTGGCATGATAAAATGATCATACGAAAAGACTTTAAACTTGATGAAAAAGTCCTCCTATTCCAATCACGCCTTCGTCTATTTCCGGGAAAGCTGAGATCCCGTTGGACCGGACCATACAAAGTGGTCAAAACATATCCACACGGGGCGGTGGAAATTCAGGACCTGGAGACGGGAGAGGTGCTGAAAGTGAACGGACAGAGATTAAAACCCTTCTTTGAGGGTTTTCAACCCAAAAATGTGGAAGTCGTAGACCTTTCTGAACCGGTCTACGAATGAGGAACAACAGAAGATATATATATTAAACATTTTTTCATATCTCTTCTCCAATTCTTCCTAAATCCTATTCTTAACTCTCTACTCTCTAATTCTTTTATTCTCCAATATATTATATTTATTGTTTATATATCTACTTTATATTAATTATCTACTTATAATTTATAAATACATACATTATAATATTATATTACTTATATTTGTTATCTAATTATATATTACTCATACATTTATTATACCTATTAATATAGGTGGAATTATATCTAATTAATTTGAAGTCATTCTATTACTCCCATCCGAAAGACCGAAAGTCCGAAAGAGGTACGAAATTATTCTATTATTTACACTTGTTTAATTTTGTATTAACGGTACTTGAAAAAAAAACTAGTCAATTCTCATAATTGTTAAAGTTAAACTATAATAATTTGATTGTTAGTAAAAAAAATAGGTTGTATAAAAACTAGTTGTAATTCTAATTATAGTTAAAGTTAAAATACTAATTTTCTATAACTCGAATTAATAGTTAGATTAATAGTTAATTACTTTATTACAATTTTTTATTAATTGCTACATTTGACTCTAGTTTAAAAAACTAGTTAATTGTCATTATAGTTAAAGTTAAAGTGTATTAATTTCATTGTTAGTAAAAAAATAGGTTGTACACAAAACTAGTTAATTCACTAGTTAATTGGATTAAAGTAAACTTTAAAATACTAATTTGCTATAACTCGAATTAATAGTTAGATTAATAGTTAATTATTTTATTACAATTTTTTATTAATTGCTACATTTGACTCTAGTTTAAAAAACTAGTTAATTGTCATTATAGTTAAAGTTAAAGTGTATTAATTTCATTGTTAGTAAAAAAAATAGGTTGTACACAAAACTAGTTAACTCAAATTAATAGTTAGATTAATAGTTAATTACTTTATTACAATTTTTATTAATTGCTACATTTGACTCTAGTTTAAAAAACTAGTTAATTCTCATTATAGTTAAAGTTAAAGTGTATTAATTTCATTGTTAGTAAAAAAAATAGGTTGTACACAAAACTAGTTAATTCACTAGTTAATTTGATTAAAGTAAAATTTAAAATACTAATTTGCCATAACTCGAATTAATAGTTAGATTAAGAGTTAATTACTTTTTTACAATTTTTATTAATCGCTACATTTTTTAGATGGATCGTGCTAGATATTCGGTTGATATGGGTAACCTCGAGCGCAACCGAACGAAAGAGCTTGCGAGGAAGAGATCCCGCAAAGGTAAATCACATATCGGCTCTTCATCTCAAAGTCGAGATGATTTTGATACGGATTACGCAAGGAGGGATGGGGATGCGATGACCGACGAACACCCGGTGGAGTATTCAAAATTAGGCAGCGGAACGGGGAAGCAAACTCAAATATCAAGGTTTGCAAATAACCAACAAGCTTTTGGTAATTTCTCATACAATGATGCACAAAATTTGACTGGTATGGCTAACTTACTTGTTGAATAAAATTTGCCTTATTTGTTTTCTGAAAGTCTTGCTTTTCGTGATTATGCACAAATTTGTTTAAATCCGCAATATAGAGGTTATAGTCGCAAAACGGTTAAGAAAGAAATTTCAAGGCTTTATAGTGCGGAAAAGGTAAGGTTACAAAATTATTTTGCAAACTTTGATGGACGTGTTACTGTATGTTCTGACATATGAGATGATACTTATGATAATTTACATTATTTGGGTCTGACTGTACATTATATTGATAATGATTGGCATATGCATAAACGTGTTCTTGCTTTCCGTGAATTTAATGATCGTCACACCGCTGAACATATTTATATTTTGATTGAGCGTATTTTAATTGAGTATAATTTAATTGATAAGGTGTTTGCTATTGGTTTTGATAATGCTACTAATAATACTGCTGTTATTCCTAGATTGCGTGAATTGTGTGGTTCTACTTCTTTGATGGGTAGATTTTTTCATCAACGATGTGCATGTCATGTTCTAAATTTATGTGTGCAAGATGGTCTAAAAGCGTTGGGAGCATCGTTGGAGGTAGTCAAGAGGGGGATTAGACGTATTTGGGGTAATGGACAACTTAGGAAAAAATGGCATGATTATTTGATAGAAAGAGGTGAGAGATATGTGGCTTTTCCTAAAGATTTGTCTATTCGTTGGAATAGTACCTATAAGTTAATTGGAGTTCTTCTTAGATATAAACAACATTTTCCTGCTTTTATAAAACAATATGATAACTATATTATAAACTCGGCTGAGATCGACACCTGTGAAAAAATTTGTAATGCTTTGATATATTTTAATAATGCAACTGAAACTTTTAGTCATGTTTATAAACCTACCTCAAACCAATTTATTCGTGAAGCTGTTATCTCGCCGGTGCTTTTTCAAATTTTGAGAATGCTGATTATGTGAGTTATTTTGCTAGTTTTATGAAGGAAAAGTTTTTAAAATATTATTCACATATTCCGCATATTTATGGTATTGCATTTGTTCTCGATCCTCGTTTTAGACTTGGTTCTTTAGAAGAATGTTTGAATTATTATTATGCTGCTTTTGTTGGTCCATTGCCAATGTATGAAGACAATCCCATTGATCCGAAAAAAATACAACGAGATTAGTGATATATTTTATGCATTATTCAATGAGTTTCATGCACAATATGGCAATGCGCCCCCTCCCACGACACAAACATCATCTAAAGGAAAATCAATTTTCAAATCTACATTTGCCAATCTTATTAAAAAACAAAATCAACTCCCGCTACGCAACAAAGCACAATTAATGAGATTTATTTGTATTTAACATATGATGTTGATTTTGAAGAAGATGATGATTTTGACGTACTAAACTGGTGGAAGGGAAAAGAAAGAATGTTCTCGGTTTTAGCAAAGATGGCTAAGCAAGTGCTATCAATGCCGGTTTCAACGGTTGCCGTGGAACAAGAATTTAGTTCGGCCTGCAATGTCCTAACGCAAACTAGAACGAGGTTGAGCGCAGAATCTCTTGAGATGCTTATATGCTACCACGATTGGTTGAAAGAAGCCCGTAGAGCTTAAGAAATTGACATCACCCCATCCCAACACTTTATGGATGAATCTACAACTGAGGGTGGCTCTACCTACCAGAGATTCCGATTGAATGATTGATTAGTATTTAATGTTTTAATTTTACCTTCAATTCTCAATTGTAACTTGTAATTTTGTAAACTTGTAGTTCATATTTCAAATAAATATACGTTCATTTTTTTAAATGTAGCTTTTTTTTTTAATTCATAAAATTAATTAATTAATTTTACATTATGTAATCAAAATTCAAAAGCCCCAAACGGCTCTATTGAAATTTGAAATTTGAAATTTGAAATTATAGATGCATAGAGCCGTTGGGGGTGGGGGTGGGTGGGGGTGGGGGTACAAAAAATTCTCTAAATACTCTTATTTTCTAACATTTTTATATACATCTTCTCCAATCTCTAATCTCCATTCTCCAATCTCCATCTTCATCTCCATCTATTGTAGGATTATTATATCTACCATTTTTAACTTTTTTAGATGGAAAGTCAAGATGCCGTTATACGGTATAATTTTGATAAGCAGAAGAACCCAAAGACCGGGATGTGGTACGCAACTTGCAAATGGTGCGGGAAAAAATGTAGCATGGGGGTTTCAGGCGGATACGGGATGGCAATGAAGCATATTAAGTCATGTGACAAAACCAAAGGATCGGGAGGTGCGGGAAGTTCCGATTGATTACAATTTACAAAATGTTTGTCTCTTGAAGTTTGTTTTAATTTTCAAATGTAGTTCCTATTTCATTTCAAATAAAATGCACTTGAAGTTTGTTTTTAATACTTGTATAAAACTATAAACTATAAAATATAAATTATAAAAAAAATCTTTAACCGGCGGGTGGCCCGGCCCGAACCGGACCCGTTCAACCCTCGGGCCGGTCCCGGGCCCATGTCATACAAACCGGCGGCCCGACCGGGCCCGACCCGGCCTGAGTCCATGACTAGACCAGACCAGACCAAAACAGACCAGACCAGACCAGCAAATTACAGTCCAAGTAAAAACATCATTAGTCCATGCCAATTCTTTTCTACTACTTCACCAGCTTATATGGGAATGAACTGTGCATCAAATGGAGTTGAAGGGAGATTCATAATGACAGATACCAAAACAAGGTCGAACTATTCATGTGTGTTGAAACTATTCATGTACGGAGTAATGATTTATGAATTACTCCCTCCGTCCCTAATAACTTTGCCAGGTTTGACCGGCACGAGGATTAATAAAGTAAAAACTGTGTGGTTGAGGTTTGTGCAGAGGAGAGAGAATTAACTGAAACCACAAATGCTTTACTTAAAGGGGAAAGTGGCAAAGTTAATGGGACATCCAAAAAAGGAAAGTTGGCAAAGTTATAAGGGACGGAGGGAGTAGGATTTATGTATAATGCTATTGTTATGTATTTTTTATTAGTGTACTAGACTACTAGTATTGCATCAAATAGTATTTTATTTAGCGAGTGTTTTTATCTTTCTAGCTTCTTTTGTTTTAATTGGTTAATGTGATAATTTGGTCTAACTTGTTGCCTTGGTTCATTTATTTGATATAAATATAGGTTATTCCATCAAGGAAATTGATGTTCAAGAAGGCCAGCCTTTCTTGTATAATAATGATGTAACATTAGAGGTAGTTCTAAGAATCTAGAATAGCAGACCAAACAAAAAATGTGTATCACAGTTTCTATGTTTATAGTTTATGGTATTTTTAGATGAAATTGAGATTTTTGTGAATGTTGTGTTTATGAGATATTTGTCTTGATCTTTTCAATTTAAAGTTGTATTAGTTCATCGATAATTCTATTATTTGATATTTTTTAAGTTAACGTTGTATTAGTTCTTTTGTAATTCTATTATTTAATATTTTGATTTGGAGGCTCTAAATATGCATGAATTATCGAGCACACTGATTTTTTTTTAAATGAATGAAGTTTTAACGTCGGTTATGAATAAAACTGACGTGATATGTGAAAATATATTACCTATAACGTCGATTATAAATAAAACTGACATTATACGTGGACATAATAGTATCAATAACGTCGGTTTTCTACGACAACAGACGTGAAAAGTCTTCCAGATTTTCACAAATAGATTTTAGACGTCGGTTGTATAACCGACGTGGAAAGTGGTCGCCTATAAAGTCTCTTACTTACACGTCTGTTTGAAAACCGACGTTAAAGGGGCAATATAACTGACGTTATAGCCCCTTTGTGTAGTAGTGTCGAGTATTAAAAACTCTAGGTGGTTTAAGCTCTAGAAAACTTTTTGAGTTTCCTAACACTAACTAACTTAGTGATTATCTTTCTAAAATGACACCTATATCATCTTAAACATATCTTACTGAAATGGCTAAACCCTGCCTAATTTGCCTAACTTGTCTTCATAATCTGAATTACTGGCTAAAGTACCTTTTTTGTTAGTGGTGATTTAGCTTTTAGGAGCTAATACACCGAGTATATCTCTTTAGGTCATCTTAAGTCAAGTCTTTTTTAATCACTCATATAAAATTGTCATTTTTTACTCATCTTATAGTGAACTTAATCAGCTTGTATACTTCACATAGTAGTTGTAAATAGAAATCACTACCTCTTGATTTAAATAGATATTTTTGTATCTTCTGGTTTGATCAACGTTTCATGGTGGTTGCAGCTTGGAGCAATCTAGTAATGCAGATCTTTGTGTAACCTATATTAGAAAGACAAAAACCTTGAAGTTCCAAGTCAGGTGCAAAATCAAGCTCTGCCACATTTTCCTTATTCAAAATTTAAAGAGAACTCAAATATTGGATGTCTATACTAACATTTTCACCTTCTCATCAGGAAATATAGATTCAAATGATGTTGGTTATTGTAAATACTGAAAGCTTGAAACTCAATTGGCATATTTTATTAGAGCTGATAATTGAAACTCATTTATGTATGTACTTGTGAAATGTATGTCTATTTTGTGTCTATATGCATAGACACATCCCTGCATGTTTAAACTTCTTGTTGAGATTTCTTTTATGATTGCATTTACAAACCATTTAATACATGAATAGATCTAAGCCTAAAATAATCATTTTTTTTGTATAATGTTGACGACCTCTTTATCATAATTTTGGTTGTGTAAATGGGGCTGAAATAAAATGCCTTCATTGATCTACAGAAAAAATGACTTTTACTTTTGGACAGAAGCCTTCTATTTTGTTTTAATAGGTGACAAACTTTCAGCAAGGATTAGCTGTGGAGATTGGGGAGACCCATTCCGGACAGGTACTTGCTTATTTGTAAGATAGACATCCAGAAACTCTTTTTTATTAATAAAGTATATTCCGAACATATGCTAGTTGTTTAATTCCAATTCCCCTAAAGCAAATATACTTAAATGTTAATACATTTTTGTAAGGAATAATTGTGTTTAGATTTTGATGATGCTATATTAATTAGGACTTTAGAGTACCCCCTTTAGAAATTATGTATTAGAATTTTCCCTTGTAAAGTTCTTAGCATAATCGACTACCAGAAGGCCTCTCTACCAGAAGACCTCCGGACAGAAGATTTTGGTTCTCTGTCTAGGAACAGAAAACCTCAGGGTCTTTGTTACCCTTTAGCTTGACAGAAACCCTCTTGGTTCTCTGTAAGCTACTATCAACAGAAGTGCTCAAGACCTTCTCTGATCAGTTCTCTGCCAAAGACACCAGAAGGTCTGACACTTGGAAGAAATCCACAAAGCCGGGAAGTCAACTTAAAGATTCCTTCAACGGCTAGGAGTATGAAACGGAAAAGCTACAGTGCTCGCATTAAATGCTCATTTAATGCTCCCCATGCTCCGTGGAGTAATTGCAGATGATTGGCCGCAATGTCAGGATTACTTTATCCCAAAATAGTAACCCGCCAACTTTACCGGGTCCTACTGGTCAAGTGAACTGCTCGCGCATTAAATGCAGTTGTCCTCCTACTCCTCCAACGGGAAGACAACTTCAGTATAAAAAGATACACTACGAAGAACAACTGCAGAACTTTGCAACTTTTGCTACACATTGCTACTACTCCTCAAACAAGATATTCAAACTCTGAAAAAGCAAAAAGCCTCCTTCAGATTCAAACTCATTATCTTCTACAAGAGAAGGCAGAAGTTGGAAAAATACTTTTTCCAACTCAAGCAAAGTTCCAAGTGTTCTTCAACTCTTCAAGCTCATCACATATAAATCTTTTGTAACGAAGCTAGTTGGAGGAACCCCAGTTTCAACAGAAACTCTTCTTGCTACAAGAAGGACGTCCAAGTAACTGGAGTAGTGAAGTGGTGATACTTCAAGGAAACTCAGTGAAAGGACCAGTGTTAAAGGAAGCCAGGCAGTGCATCCCAGGACACATCTAGGCTTGAAGAAGACGTGGAGTGCTTCTTAAGTACTAGGACTAAGGCTTTCTAAACGACAGTTTTTACAGCTTAGTGGAACAGTGGATTAGAGGAACGAGTTGTTCCTTGAACCACTATAAAAATCCCTGGTGTCGTTTACTTACTGCTTTAAATACTTGCACTTAGATAGAACTGCCTAACTCCTTGGACCTGGTATCTGTGTTCAGCAGAACTTGTTCTACGAGTTAACAGAAGGCCTACTGCCTTTACTTCTCTGAGGCTAACAGAACTCCCTACCAGAACCCCATCCGCTGCCAGTCTGTTCTTTCAACAGAACAGGCTATTCTGTAAATCTGGTACTTAGTTTAAAAAGCTAAAAACCAATACAGTCTATTCACCCCCCCTCTAGACTGTATCCAGTATAACCGGGACCAACAAGTGGTATCAGAGCCTCCTTGTTCTAATAATCTCTTAGGTTATTTGTTGAACAAAGATCCACGTGTTTTTCTGTTTTACCTCATTTCTATCTGATATAATGGATCACTCCTTGTCCAAGAATCTTATGTTTTCAGACCTTAAGTTTGATGACTGGAGGATCCGGATGAAAGCACATCTCTGTGCCCTGCATGATGAGATGTGGGAAGTTCTAGACATTGGCCCCTTCACAAGCTTCCAGAAGGTCAATCCTGAGCATGCCATTGATAACACCAGACCCCAGATGATCAGTAAAGCCAA